ATATATATATATATATAAAATCAACTAAAATGTAAACATTAGGAACTTATTAGATTATATAAGGATAGATTAGGTTAGATAATGAAAAAAATAAATATCTCCACAAGGTATGTTCCTGAGTAGCTTTTACATTACGTCATTCAATATTGTGCGATATATATACCTTGTATAGTTGGATTATTAGTTACAAACGTTATACTCAGAGAACAGATGGCTATTAAAGATAGCTCCCTCCCTTCCTGTAGAACATCCCGGTAGAGGCATCAATAGCATAGGTTTTGGTGTGTAAACCATGAAAGGACTGCAGTATCTTTACCTGTTCAATAGGTACTGGTGTGGTTAAATCACAATGTCAGGATGAGTGAGTAGGTGGTTAGCCGTTGGTTGGATTCAAACTTGCCATGTGGGAGCCTGGGTAGGACAGTCTGTTCAAGGTAAATTCCCTGCAACTGCTGCAACAGGTTTTCTACTCTCTTATACCTGGCTTGGAGTTACCACTCTGTGAGAGAAACTGCCTCAGTGATGGAGAGAACGTCTCTCACATAAAGGTGAGGTCTCGTCATCTTCTATAAATTTATCAATGAGGATATCTTCACCATCCACTTAGGTCATTGCAAGATAAGCTTCACTATGCAAACAATACAGATTATGTGCATAAGTTGTAAAGCTCTCCACAGTATCCCTCTTTCAAGCCTTGAATTTGAGCTGATAAGTTGCTTTATTTTCTTATGAGTTAAATAGGTAATGACTGTCTAGAATTCCTCATACAAGTACTCACTGGAGCCTAAGGCCAGACGGTCTAGACTCCGAACCAGACAACGTATAACTTGTTCCAGAGTTCAGGCAGTTGCCTGTCTGACATGCTCAGTAAAAGGTCCAGATCTACTTTGCTGTGCCTTAAATTTCAGTGGATTGACCTTTTTCAAGTTGCTCATGGGGAGATGTGATTTTAGTCAGTCACTCTCCTTTCCAACTTCTTGGCCATCACATGATCAAAACATCATATACATAGAGACCCCAGCACTTTCACAAGTAGTAGGCTCATGATCCAGGGTAGCAGAATGGCGAGGTGCTCTTGGTAGCTCTTTTGTCAGCTATGCTCAACCCCAAGCTTCTCCATGGGTCATGTTCACAATGGCAGTAAACATCCCAGCTTGGTAGAGGATCATCATTGCTCAGTGGCCCACTCCCTTCACTATTCAGTGCCTGCCATATCACATGCTTATTAGATAGCTTTGGTTAGTATACATTGTCCACTAATGGTTCCTTCAGCCTCTTTTTCTGAAGTTCTTGAGTGGCTTTGACCACAGCTGGGGTTGAATTACTTTGGCTGACATAAGTCTTGGAGCCCTACATTACCCCATCACGAGGTCTCAGATTCATCAGACACCACACCATTATGACTATTCTCATTCTATGTTGTCCTACACCGAGGTCAATCCTCCCTTGAAAAACCATTTTCCCATGATTACTGAATCTCCCTCTTATTCATACGTCCTTCTGGCTGTAGAATATTTCCAAGAGTTTAAGTAAAGTGCAGGAAACAGTTCAGTAGATATAACAAATTCCACAATAAAGATATCTTGTGGTCACAGCACCAATATTTTCCCTTGCCTATTCACTTTGTGGTATAGCTGGGTGAAATTGACTTAACTTTAGAACTATATCAGATATGTATGTTAGATAACAAGAGATTCGCTCAAAATATCAATTAGGAAGTATTACGAAATTTCTTATCAACTGAGTTAATTTAAATTGAAGTAATGAGACTGGACACAAAATATAATGCAACACGAACAATTTTTATTAAGGCACTAAGACACAAACACAATATGTGTACTTGCTGTTATTTATATGTGTACGGAACTATCGCCTTTACTAGATCCTCTATATTCAACTGTTCAAACTGAATCCACAAACCACACTAGCTAAATCAAACGTTCCTTAACTTGCAAGAAAAATAGTATTTGCCTAGAGCAACTATGCTTTCAAATGTCTAGTCATTCTCGTTAACACTTAGGTGGGACCGTATCCTATGAATATCACCTGAACTACCTTGAAGGACACTGATGGCAACATCATTACACAATGTGTATATAGTAATAAGGAATATTCTCTCATGGCACAGGTATTGTCTACTTCGAAAACAACAAAGGTAGCTGTCTACCGCGGGGAATGGAACCCCGGATTTTAACGTTGTAAGTCAGTAAACTTACTGCTGTCCCATCGGAGATGGTTAGGGCCCTTGATTCGCAATGTGAGGGTCGCGGGTTCGAATCCCCGTCACACCAAACATGCTCGCCCTTTCAGCTGTGAAGGCGTTATAATGTGACGGTCAATCCCACTACTCGTTGGTTAAAGAGTAGCCCAAGAGTTGGTGATGGGTAGTGATGACTAGCTGCCTTCCCTCTAGTCTTACACTGCTAAATTAGGGACGGCTAGCGCAGATAGCCCTCGTGTAGCTTTGCGCGAAATTCAAAACAAATTGTTTTCCTTACATAATACCTAAACTATCCCAGCAGATAATCAGGAAAATTTAAAAGTGTTTCCGCAGCCCTTGATTGTACGGCTTTTGTTTACTAACTTGAGATTGCTGTATTTTGTTTCGACTGGAATTTGTTTAAATTTTTCTATTTACATATATATCTTAATTAAGAATACGTGATTTTATATGAGACAGGTCTGTAGAGAGTTACCGAGCGTAAAGGAGTGGTTAAAGATTCGAATGGCGAATCCAACGGTCCAAAGTTACCGTTCCATTGACGCAAAATCGCGCTCCGCAATTTGGAATCTTGGGTATGTCATAAGAGTAACGGCCAAATTCCAATGTTCGATTAGCCCAAAAGGTGGTAGATGGTACTGTTGATTATCTGCCTCTCCTCTAGGCTAACGAAGATGGCTAGTGTAAATAGCTTCTTGTATAGCTTTGCGCGAATATTCTAAACAACCAATAAACCAAACTAAAGGAGTTCGAATTCGGTGCTCACCGAGAGGGTAGATCAGGATAGCCAATTAAACTGTTAATAGCCTTTACAATATGTATATTTATATATAACGAATTCCGATCAGAGTAAGCTATGTATTAGAGCTAAACCTGGCCATCAGTATAGGTAATTAGATATATTTTACTTACATATTTGCTTATAACGTCTAGAATGCATTATTTCATCAGTTGAGTACCCTGTCTGTTAACAATATTTTCGACCTGAAATAAAACCTATCTATACTCAAACAGGAGTTCAAAATTAGCATACCAATTCTTTGATGATTTTAAACTTCGAATTCTTATCAAATGATAACCATCTATTATAGTATTCGTACAAATTGTGATTTTTCGGAAATCCCGTGGGCTTATAGCGCTAAAATTCTTCTTTCTATGCCCGTGTTGGGCGCAACACAGATAACCCATTGTGTGGCTTTGCGCTTTACAACAAACAATGTTAATTTTTTGATACAACACCTTTGTTTGTAGAAAATGTTTAATACACATACAGGCAACATTTTCTACTTTAAGGTTATATCTAAATATTAAGGTAAATGCCTTCCCACAACTTGCTATCAAAAGCGGAATATTTTAGGAGTTGACATATTGTGAGTTCAAGCACTCAACTCCTAACCCTTAACGGATTTTCCATTGTTGCTGGCTAGTTTGACATATGCGTTTGGATCATGTCTGATAGATGGATATACATATATATATCTCCAACATGTCTGAGAGATATCGGCACAGATATTTTATGTTATGATTTTAATGATGACAACAAAAACTGGTAATGGAAAAATAATTTTTAATTTTTTGTTCTCATTGTGAACGTCTTTGATTTGTATTAATTTCATTATTGTTTTATAGTGCTGATTTGATCGTCTATTTCAATTAATGTATTTGATTGTATCAGAACTACTGACTTATTTATATATGTAAGTGTGTATGTATATGTTTTATTTTTATTTCTAGAACAAATATTTCACTATATTAGTTTCTTTAATTTTTAAAGAATGGTTTAATTAAGCAAGATGTGAAAAATAAGAGGAATGTAGCGCCATCTAGAATTGTAAATATCATTTTCGTACAAATGTAGGTTAGTAAATCTCTTTAATTTTTGAAATAGTTATCATTCACACACACAATTCAAAATAGTAAATGTATTATTATTATAGCGAATTTATGCATTCAATATATAGTTTTAAGGCCCATATGATTATTAATTTTCTTATGTTAAGGTGCATTTCAGATAAATATGAATCTCAATATCCATAGACGCAAAAAACAACAACTAAAAAACACAATATGTACTTTGGAACCCAGGGTGCGCTATATGCGAATAAATATGAAGTCCCCTTTTTTCGGTCAAACAAGAGTAGCCCAAGGGTTAGCAGTGTATGCTATTGACTAGCGGCCTCTCCTGTAATCCGTAAATTCAAAATTACAACAGCTATGCGCAGTGTAGCTATGCGCAAAATTCTGAAACAAACAAATAAGTTCCCAAGAAAAGTGTAATAATTAAAAAATATTTGAAAGTACGATGCTTATATGGTGTTTCGTAAGTTTTTACAAGCTCTATGACAACAGTTAATCACCCAGTATGAAACCTAAGCACAATAATTAGATTAAAGACAGAAAAATTGGCCCTCGTTAATCTGGATTGAGAGATTTATTGTAATTTCCCTAGTAAATATTACGCTTAAACGCGCAAAAAAAACAACAACACAAACTTAAATCGTCAAATTAGAATGAATGCCACACAGGCTGATATATATCATTTTCTTTTTTGCTCTTACAGTTACGTAAGTTCGAAATATTATATTAATTGACACAGTGAAAGACTGGCAGTAATTTATACCCACGAGATACAGTCAAGCAGGTGAATATTAGCACTTGTGAGTTACTTCCCTTCGTAATACGCATGACTGTGGTTTCCATGGTAACTAGCCAGATATATAAATGTCCTCCCTGGTGTGAGGGGGTTTTCCTATCAGTACTCGCTGTCTTTACCAGCGCCTTAGGTTTTAAACATGAGGTGGAAGGCTAAGTATTAACATGTAACCATCCTGTCGCAGAAGATTATTGATTTAGTAGTTTTTGTTCCCGCTTCCCCTCGTGCAAAGCACAACGCGCACGAACAGTTCCATTCGGCGTCTGAATTCAAGCAGTTAGACCTGGCGTACGTAGGTGAAAAACTGGCGCGTGCGAGTGCTTCTTGCTATGTTGTAGTCTCTCAGACTACAATATCGGACAACAAATAGTCAGTAGGCAGCTTTTCCTCGCCATTTCGATTAGGCCCCCTTATTTTTTTCTTCTCTCTCCGACAGAAGCTACCGTGCAGCCTTTCTATCTCTGATTTCTAGGTCGCATTGATAGTATCAGCAAGTACGGGGTTCATACAGCTTTGCACTGAGAATCCTGTCACGTGTAGTAGAAGCCGTGGATATCGCCTAGCCATCAGAGGCTCCTGAAGAAAGTGATCTATGCCGGGCTCTGAGTTACACTCACGTAGGAGCTGTAAATTGTCACAGATCAAGCTTTAGCGGCATTCGAACCGATATTACAAACGGTTAAGGACAATCTACGGAACTTCAATACTGGACGTCAGCACACTTATCGTGGAACGGCCGTGAAATCTAGATTAGTAAGTGCTTTAAAACTTCTTATTTCTAAAACTCTTGAATTGAATCACTTCTTCGTTGCCCAAGCCTTCATAGTACGAAATGCAATAATTTACTACGTACTTAATTATGATTTTGCTTGGGAAAAGTATAAATGGCCGTATTACATTAATGCCCATTACGTATAATTACGAATTTCGATAATTTTAACATTGTAGAAACTGGTTACTCCTTTGTTAGTCTTGCAGTCTGAAAGTAATTGTTTTAATCCCAGCCTGTGGAATATAACAAGCTATATTAGAACTAACGTTATAGATATATATATATTTTTTATCTGTAGCTTCTCATGGCAATTTTAAGACGCGTATATACATTATTTATTTCAAATAATAACAGTTTACGTTTCTTTATTAATTTTTGTTTATGTATTATCACTAAAGTGGCCGCAAATGTTCATAGCTTTGATGTTCAAGTCATGAAAGTTGAACTTGATATTTTCCAATGAAACTGTAGTATCTTTCCCTTTTTTTACCAAAGGCAGTAGTGGATGTAGGTACTGACCAATTCATAGTCCAACTGCTGTGCGACTAGTTTAGTTTGTTTGTATGTTTGTTTGTAATTAAGCACAAAGCTATCTGCCTACCACGTGTATCGAAAACCGGATTCTAGCGTTGTAAATCCGCAGACATGCCGCTCTGCCACTGGGTGGTAACTAATTTAGAATCATGTGTATTTTCTTATTAAATACCGACAAAGATGGTAGTTGATATATTTCTTGTTGTTAGTTAAATGTAACGATCGATAAAAGGCATGCAAACGCTTTTTTGTACTGACAACCGTTTGAGGTGATATATACTTTGAGTCGTATTTTTATGTACGTAGTAATTATCAGTGCGCGCTACTTTACGTATTAACCTTGTACTCCCTTTCGTTTGATTCAGAAGTTTTGCGCAAAATTACATAAAGGGCTATTTGCGCAGAGTCGGCCCTAATTTGGAACTTATAGACTAGAGGGAAGGCAGCTAGGCAACAGCTCACACCACCAACTCTTTGACAACTCTTGTCTCACCAATAGTTGGATTTGACTGCCACTCTTATAGCACACTCGCGACTCCAAAGTTCGGAGCGCGCTTCTGCGCAACGGGCTGAAAACGGGGAACCTTCTGATTCACCGTCAGCTAATCACTTGGCCACGCCCAATTCTGTATTCTATAGCATTTTCTAACAGGATTATCTAATTTTCTGCTAGGTTGGCTGGTCACGTAATATTTTGAGTGCGGTTTCAGAGGCGGAACACGAATTATATCGATTTAAAAAAAGTTATTGGTATTAATCGCTAGAGTAATACAGTAATAGGTAACTTATTGATATTAATCGCCAGAATAATACAGCAATAGGTGACAAACATTAAGTAACTAAGCCTTAAAATCAAAGGCGCTAAACATAGTTCTAATTTTAAATTCATTATTTATTTATGTATTTCTAATTTTTCCCTGGTGTTTCACGAGCCGGTTGGAAGTGCCTCGCGGGCCACCAGTAACACAACCCAGATCTAACACAAAACCCCGAGAGAGTTCGCTTAACCCCTCGCAAGCTGAGCTGTTCCAAAACCTAAGGGCTTAAACGATACGGACTACGAATATGATGTATGCGTAGTATACATCACAACCTTATTAATTATTATAACATACACTGTCAACCATAACTTCAAATAAATAAGCAATAGGCAATCTGTTCACCAAATCGGTTTTGAAGCCTGGGCCTGGATTATATCATCTATATTTTTCTTGCATAATAAATTGTTATAAGAAGATTTTGTAATTGTGCAGCATATTACTTTGATTTTCTGCATCATAACCACCCTTAGAACAAAATCATTGTACCCACAGTGAATAAAGATTCATTTTAATTGGTTAGACTGTAAATATCAATATTGTATAAAAGTATTGTCGGTAAAGGTGTATTATAGACTGTAGATATGAATCATTTGTAAAAAGGTGTATTATAGACTGTAGATACTCGTGATTTGTAAAAAAAAAGCATTGTCGGTAGAGGTGTATCGTAGACTGTAGATATTCGTGATTTGTAAAAAAAAAGCATTGTCGGTAGAGGTGTATCGTAGACTGTAGATATTCGTGATTTGTAAAAAAAAGCGTTGTCTGTAGAGGTGTATCGTAGACTGTAGATATTCGTGATTTGTAGAAAGCATTGTCGGTAGAGGTGTATCGTAGACTGTAGATATTCGTGATTTGTAGAAAGCATTGCCGGTAGAGGTGTATCGTAGACTGTAGATATTCGTGATTTGTAAAAAAAAGAGCATTGTCGGTAGAGGTGGATCGTAGACTGTAGATATTCGTGCTTTGTCAAAAAAGCATTGTCGGTAGAGGTGTATCGTAGACTGTAGATATTCATGATTTGTAAAAAAAAGCATTGTCGGTAGAGGTGTATCGTAGACTGTAGATATTCGTGATCTGTAGAAAGCATTGTCGGTAGAGGTGTATCGTAGACTGTAGATATTCGTGCTTTGTAAAAAAAGCATTGTCGGTAGAGGTGTATCGTAGACTGTAGATATTCGTGATTTGTAAAAAAAGCATTGTCGGTAGAGGTGATTCTGTCTGGGTAGACGAAACACTTAATCTAGTTGCATGTTTTAACACTGAGATGGCGAGAATGGCCGTTGTCATATTTTAGTTCCGAACTACTCTTTCAACATATGTTCTTAATACTAAGAACACTCCTCGTGAAACTCATCTGACCATTTGATACAAAGACCACTCGAAGAGATTCAAGTCATATGAAAGAAATGTATCACAATTGGTACGAAGAGTTTGTGAGTTAGAAAATTAATTTAACGTCACAGTAAGACTTCTAATAATCATAGCGCTTCAGTCTTAGCTAGCATATCTGTTCGGTTTCTATAGAAGACTGCATTAGTGAGTACATTATTAATATGGTTATTATGATGTTGCATAACATTTCTTCAAAGGCTTCAGCTTCAGCGTTTGACATCAGTATTCACTAGTTTGTGTTAGCCTAACAAGATCCATTATCGGGAAGCTATCCGAGTCTAATCTGTATCAGATACATGTGATGTGTGATGATCAAACAGAATCCTGCATCAGTAAGCTTGTTGATTGTTATCAATGTCAGATACATGTGATAAGTGTTAACCAAAAAAAAAAGAAAATGCAGCATCCTTGAACATGTGTGTTATTATCCATACCGAGTACATGTGATTACGTTAAAAGTTGATATAGTCAACATTTAACTATGTTGACCAACGTGACGGTGTGGATGGTGTCCGTAAATACAAACTGATACAGTTTTAAATGAATATTTTTATAAAGCCTGGCTTAAGATGTATGGAGAAAAATTCTTATTAATATTTCCACCACTTCAGTAATATTTACCATATATGGTTGAGTACATTATATTAAAACGACTTTGAATATGCAAACCAACGAGTCATGTGACAACAACATCCTATATAAAGTCAAAGTGGAACAGCATGAAATCAGCAACATACTTTTACATTGTTTGGCGTTACGTAGGAAGTGTGACGCCACCGCAAATTGATCGATTTTGGGAAAAGTATGTAAACGTTCTTTTCAGCGTAAAATATTCATATACTCAGATCATAAAGTGGGCTTAGAGCGGGGAAATTAGAATTTCCAAAATGGAGAATATCTTACTTAATAGTATTGGAAAACAAAGAAATATGAATCAATTTGGGGAAACAGAACCACCAAGAAAGAGATCTGCAACAAGTCGTACCCCAGCCATGGTAAACAAAGTTCAGCGTTTTCTAACAATTTAGAATCCACGAGCACGAAGGTTTGTTGCAAAAGCTATCCACGTTTCCCAAATAAAAACATGCATCATGGTTGCGGTTTCGAGGGAGGGTCATATTTTTCTTGCTATTTTCCTCCTTTTAGTTATTATACTCGCACTTCTGCGGGAAGCACTCAAGCGACAACTCTTGAAGGTTATAGCACAGAAAAATCGCATAAGTGTAGAAAGACTATTGCTGCGTCGTTACCAGAAAAACGCGTGATAAATGTATAAAGAGAAAAAAGCATCATAAGTAAATATACCTTTATATCTCGGATCTTGTCAAACAATTAGATATTATTTACTTCAGGCGATTTTGGAAGCCGTGGCTTCACGTTCGTCCTCCCTAACCCCCTCCCAGTTGGTTCAACGGTAATGTTGAGGGCTTGAGCGCGAAAATTCAAGGTTTCATCCCTGCGGTAGGCACAGCACTGATAGCTCATTGCTTTGCACTTTAACATACAAAATTTTACGAAATCAAAATACACAAGAGAGAGTTTAGTGTTACTCTATCTGTCTAACAAAACCACGCCTTTTAAAATATAGATGCATATATTTATACATATTCTATGGCATATATATATATATATATATATATATATATATATATATATA